ATCGACAGCTGGTCAAGAGGAATCGGCCGTCGTCTTCTGATGGAACCGACCTTCGAATCTCTTTACCCAACACTTCCCCTCGAAATGGAAGTAAGCTCAACAATCTGTAACTATCTGTAATATTGATGTGGGTTGACCTCGTTGTTGCCACTAGGTCTGGTTGTCAGGGCGACTTAGTAGAACGCACCTAGTCCGAAGTCGTTTGCCATCGTCATGTCTGTAACAATGTTCATGGTATATATACTCGCTGCGTGTGTATCAATGTGTGTTAACGTGTATGCGCAATATCGGTCCTAAATCACAGGGTTAATGTCAGTTTCTGGTCGTTAAGGCGTAATGACCCAAAAAGAAGGCCCGACTGAGACTACGTAGATTCGTTAACAAGTATGATTGGGATAATGAGATGTAACCTTGTAAGTGTGTAAGCCAAGTTACGAAACTGCATGTCATATCCTCAAAGTCTATGGTTATTAAGTTTTAACAGCCCAATGAAAGTCTTACCGGGAGCTGTATAATCTGGTACATCTCGTTTGATTGATGAGATTAATCCAACTGGTTGGAGGAGTGGGAGTGAATTTAGAACCATCATGAAGCAGACAAGTTGAGTCGCCTTATTTTGGATGGCGGCTCAACACCCTCTCTCTCTTTCAATCTATCAATCAAGCATACTTAGTTCTTACTTAACTTTCTACCTCCGCTCCTTACATCCAACACATTACATAATTCATTAATTTCAATAGCCTCTCTTAACTTCCTTGTAACAGCGAACCTACTCGTTTGAGACACTTCTTTCGATCTAAACTTCAGTCCCTGGCCTTCGTGTATGGCCCAACTGACTTTACAAGCATTTTTGTGTTCACCTCATCTTTCTTTACTCACCATTATTTAGAATCGGTGTTGCGTATATATGTTGACACACACATACACACACACTCGAGTAAAAGTAGCATGGCTAAAATAAAATATAATTGATCAAATCCTTCTGTATCTATCTTTGTTTATACACTTTCGTTTTTTAGTTATGAGTATATTTGAGAGGTAAGATAGAGCCGGATATTCTTCCTGTCAGAGTATTAACTATACAACATTTACAAGAATGAGTTCTAGTTCTGATAATATCTATCTTCATCAGATGACCTAAAACTAAATGGTATCATGTTAACGGGATTCAGCTGTCGTCTTCTGGCGAGATCAGCCTACGAAGCTCTTATTCATGCACTTTCTTAAGAAATGAAGGTCTTCCTAACAATGTAGTCTCATCTAAACCTATTTCTTCATTGTATCTGTAATCTTGGGAAATCCTGCCATTATCACGAACCGTAGATTCCTTTGTATTATTTCCTTTGGATAACTGTTTCTAAGACCTATCCGAGTTAGTATTCCCAGTTCATCAATGTCAGTTAATCTCAAGCTGCTCATTAATATAATCCTAACTGTCCTAATCCTGCATCGATAGTTCTGATAAGACTGAAAATTTACCATTTTTTCTGCATAAAATTTCTTTTTTAATAACCTTTTGTTAAGAATCACCTGGGCTCAATTAACATCTACTTCCCAAAATGCTAACTACCACTTCTCCTTCGTCTCCATTTTAAATAAGACTTTTTTATCAATTTCGTCTAAGAAGATTAGGAGCTCATCTGGTTTTATTTCCCTTGCGACCAGATTTCGAGTTTGAAGCCTTTTCCCAACTTGTTCCCATGTAGAGGCGAGACTGACGAGCCAATGGGCAAACTAAATATTTGCTCATATATGTTTTCGTGACATGTTTAATTGCGAAAACGAGGTGACATCAGCTCAACTCGGCTAAAGGAAACTTTTATCAAACCTAAGGTCACACTATCTTGCTTTTCCTATTTACCGGAATACTTTCCTCCTGAACTACATTCCCCAAATTACGGCGTCATCGAGGAGGTCTGCAGATTATTTAGTTCATGCATATTGTTCAGAGTAAGTACATTCGTCAGATTGAGAATGGGGCTTAGTTGTGTCATGAAAAACAGTCAGATGGAGGTCAAAGGATATTGTATCAATAATATAATTTTTTAGGTATGGCAATAAAGCCCAAATGACAGTTTGTGTCTTTTATTAGTTCGTTATTTTCGATGCTGTTTTTGCTCGCCATTTCATTAAATGACCCTTCCAACCTGCATGCTTCCACAATCGCTTCATCACAAACGATTAATTATCTGGGCTTTCTTGTAGCATTGAGTCAAGACAACTTCCAAATAACTGCCCACTTGTTGCATGTTTGTGTCAAGGCAGGGACCGTCGATTCAAATCACAAAAGTGTAAATGATGAACAATGAATATTTTAATATGAAATTTATTCACCCTATTTCGTCTAATACATCTCATATTACTGATTTACTGTTAGTCCCGAAACTCTACTCTAATACAAAAATAAATATTTTAATTGAAGATATGAAGACAAAAATGGTGTGACCTCTGGTATTGTCGCAGTCTCCTTTCGATTTATAGAAGTGGGCTGACCTCGTTGTCACAACTTGGTCTTGTTGTCAGGGCAACTTGGTTGAACACACCTAGTCCGAAGTCGTCTTCCATAGTAGTTGTCATGATTCCTAGCATCAGACAGGGGACTTGGTACCTTCTCAGACGTTTCACCGGCAGCATCAGTGAGTGAGGAGTGATAGTATAACCGTTTTCGGCAGAACATTTGCCGAGGGATTAACTTCATTTGTCTCTTTGACGAGATGGTAGCTTTGTGAGAAGAATGACAACACTTGTTGATGATGCTGACTATGATGCCGAGGGAAAGTTTGAAAATCTACCAAATCAACAGTCTGATGCTGGGAATCATGACAACTACTATCTCAGACGAATTCGGACTAGGTGAGTTCTACTAAGTCGCCCCGACAACAAGACGAAGTTGCGACAAGGAGATCAACCCACTTCAAAGAATATTTTAGCCTTTTATATCAAATTCGAGACGGCGTTGCTTTCAGTTTGGTGTTATCTCGTTTTCACGTGGTATTCGTGTCTTCAGGGCTACAAAGAACGACGTATTCCATGCTCTGTCCTCTGTCGTCTTCAATGTCATATGCTCTACTCGGCTGGATTAAGTTGCCAAACATTTTGTCGAAATCACAGTCAGCATAGTTTGTGAACATTATCATTATCATCACATATCATAAGTAATTTCGTGTTTCATGCAATCGACCGAACGAGGCAAGTTGGTGATGTCGTGTTTTTTCCACTTTTCAGTTAACATTTTTACCGAATTCTTAGCAAAATGTGGTTATCTTTTTTTTTGCCAAACAGGTGGAAGACCTTGACAAACTACGCATACGTCTGCAGAGCTTCACTGATGCCATGATGGAAGCGATTCGTGGTGTGAACATCAGCCTTGTCTTCTTCCGTGACGCCATCATCCACTTGATTAGAGTGTCTCGTATCCTCAGAACTCCCAGAGGCAATGCGCTTCTGGTAGGAGTTGGAGGCTCCGGAAAGCGGTCGCTTACTCGATTGGCCTCTTTCATCGCCAATTACAAAGTCTTCCAAATAGTGCTCACCAGGTGACGGCGAAACCTTCTTCATTTAGCTTTTTATCTTTATTTATTTATTTATTTATCAATTTATCACTTTCTGCCTCATTTGCTGTCCATCAGCTCTGACTTCAGGATCAAAATTTCTGTGTGAAAAGAGCTCTTCTAAACAAATTGCATTGCTCCATTTTGGCGAATAATTCTGACACTCGAATAAGCGTGCTTCTTGCATTTCTTGACCGTGTGGGCAAGACTTATTTGGGCCCGGCAACTATTGACTAGCCTCAACGCCATAGCAAACATTTGAAGAAAAGATTTTCTATATTTTATAAGTAGGTTTTTTGGACTACCATTAGATCGTATATAAAAGCCGCATTCCTTCTATTTTGTTTAAGGCGAAGAAGAACTAGTAGTTAAATTTTGACACAATTATTCGAGTTATCTTGATAGAATTACCTAATACAGATTTCTAGAGCTTGGATTATAGACAATCTATCTATATGCAAGGAAGGTTTCTAAACTATTAGTAGGCCCTAAATTAGAGCCTCATTCACCCTGGGCTGCTTAAGGTTATAAAGGCCTGATAGGCGAAGTTTAACACAATCAAGTAAATAGTCAAGTAAATACAATAGTTATGACGTAGTCTTACTTCAGAAAAATTATTTTCATTTCGACAAAACTGGACTGGACAGGAGATTCGTCTTCGTCTGAATTGGTCTCATCAGCAGCCTCAGTAGGACTCGAACCCGACTTGTGTAGTGCGGTAACACGTAAACCACCACCGCATACAGCTTTTGGGTCACAGAGCAGATATTAATTTCAAGGAAACCCGGGTATTTTTCTATATCACATTGTGTGAAGGGAATGTTGATAGAGCGTAGTTTTATTTGCGATAGCAATCGACTACGTTAATGATTTTTCGTTTATTAGTAGGTTTTCGACACTATCAGCAGATCATTTATATGAGGTGTATCCACTCTCTTTCCTTTAGAGTGATAAGGGGACGGATAGTTGAATTTTCCCACTTTGCTTAGTCGACAGTACACCGCAGAATGTGATATGGGGAAATGCCTATGCTTTCTTGAAATTCACATTTTAATTGTGATACAAAAGCACTCGTGAAATAATGAGACCTAGTAGTTAATGTCTCGAGAGTATACACTGCACTGTCATGGTTAGAGTCCCACCAGGGCTGTTGATGATATTAATTCAGGAGAGGTCAAAATTGAATCCACTCCTGTCGGGATGAGAATATTACTAGGAAAGTAAGAAAATGTAAGGTCTGGTAATTCCAACTACCAGTCCCCTTAGCAACTTAAACCTACTAGGGTGAATATACCTCACATATATGATCTACTTGTAATCTCAAAAACCTACTTATAAAAAAATATAAATGATGAAAGCCTTCAAGTAAGCGATTTGGCCTCTAGAGACGATAATTAGCAACTTTTTTTATCTGATCTGTTATGAACTGGTATCTTTTGATTAGTACATTCCGATTTTCACGAATCCGATTAGTTTTATACATGGCCTGACTAATCTTCCTCGGCATTGGTTGCTAACCAAAAGCGATTTAAAATGCCATACATCTCTGCCACACCTCGAGCATTTGCATTATGGGCTATTTGAACTCTGTGTAAAGTAACCAAAGCTTTTTATCGAAGATATGAAGACCAAGATGGTATGGCCTTTTGTGTGGTCGCAGTCTCCTTTAGTTGTATAGAAATTGTTTGATCTTTTTTCGCAACTTGGTCATATTGGTAGGAAGACTTAGAGGAACGCACCTTGTCGGA